CAAAAAGCAAAACAAAACAAAACAAGAGCTATGAGACAGAGTAAACTCAGCTCATTTAAGTAGTATCTCTAGCACAAGGCTTTAAACCATTTTATTATTCTTTTTGACTATTATTTAGCTTTCATAGAACTCAGGTTTTCCCACATACTAGTTGCTGCTTTATATGATATAAAACAAAATGAGGAAATCATGTTTTCATTTTATTTATTGGAAATGAGTTGCTGCTTTATATGATATAAAACAAAATGAGGAAATCATGTTTTCATTTTATTTATTGGAATTTATATCCAACTCATCCCATTAATAAACTAGCTAAGGAAAATACTCCTGGCAACCTGCTGTCTTCCTGTATTAGTCAGGGCTTTCCAGAGAAGCAAAACCACACACACACACACACACACACACACACACACACACACACACACACGCACATAGAGGAAGGTGGTTTAGGAAATTGCTCATGAGATAGTTGGGAATTACATTTAATTTAAGGGACTCTATGAAGCTAGGAGGTAGTGTGAATCCATGAGAACTGTGCTAATCACTTCTGAGGACAGTGTACCCAGTGGCCTAAATATCTTGCCTAAACCCTACCTCTTACAGGTCCCCATGGAAAACCAATAAACCCTTGGACACTCCAATCATATCCAAATCACGGCACCCTCCATAATGTGGGTGGATCTCAGCTGGTCAATTGAGGAACCTAACAGGAAGAGACCTCCACAGCACAATCTAGACTGGTGTTCCATCAAACAGGGCACTATGCCTAGCCAGGCAGACATGGAAAATTAACCATTACAGCTCCCTTTTGACCCAATTACCTCCCACTGAGGATGGCACCTCACCTTTAGTTCCTGTCTTTCCACTTCCTGGTGACTTATCACCCTGTCCTTTTACATCTCCCTCTCCTGTGCTTATCTATCTTTCCACTTTAGATCTGCATTATTCAATGCAGTAGCTACTAGCTTCATGTAGTCTCTTAAATTTATTTATTTTTACAGGTTTAATCTGAATACACATTTATTAGATAAATATTAGAGGCTGTCACTTCCTCTAACTACATACAGCTTTGCAAGACTTGACCTCACAATTAGTTTTCTGAGCAGTTCAAGGTATGAAATGATTTTTGCATTGTACATATGATGTACAAAGACAATGATGGTCTTTGGGAGTCTCTTCAGGCTGCACTGGTGGATGTGTGGATGTGGGTACATGTGAATCACTTGTGCTCATGATATCAAAAATTATACAAAGTATGAATTTAGTTACATTTGTCTTCTGAAATTCCCATGTCTTTTCATTATTTCCATAGCACCCTGAAATTTCACAGGAGTAGCCTCTTAAATTTAAATGTCAATGACTAAAGTTAAATTAAATTAAAAATTGAGTTTCTCAGTTGCAATGCCATATTCAGCTGCTCAGTAGCCACATGTGGCCTGTGACTATCATACTGGGTAGCACACATTGAAACATTTCCATCATTGCACAAAAGCTTATTGGGGCCAGGGGTTTAGCTCAGTGGTTCCGCCACCTGCCTTGCAAGTGCACAGACCCAAGTTTGATCCCAGGTACCCCCCGCCAAAAAAAAGGCTTACTGGATAGAGCTGTACTAGATAGTTCTTCACAATGTCTTTGCCTTCATTATCTACACCTCTCTCCTCAGATATTGGCTTAATCTTCCTCTTCTAAGTTTGCAGTCTCCCTTGTCATCTGTTTAGGCACATAAATCCTCACTGAGAATTTTGTGGAAAGACAGTTTGATGTAGTTGTATACTACTAACACAATATTCTACGGTAAAAGGGATTACATAAATAGATATAACACGACCTCCCCATCTACCTCCTGGGTTTGATTCCTCTCTACTTCCAAAGCCTAGGGTGCCATGGCTAATATTGCTACATAGTGATTACAAATTCTCTAATGTTCATATCTATTATGAATTGGATTGTGTCCACTATACACTTTGAAGTCCTACCTCCCAATATCTCACAATGTGATCTTATTTGAAATTAGGGGTACTGTAGATATGATTAGTTAAAATGAGGTTATACTGGAAGAGGGTGGGCCCTAATCCAATAGGATTGGTACCTTTATTTAAAAGGGACATTTGGAAACACACACAGGGAGAATACCACAGAATGGCAACGCAGTGGCTAGGGTGATGTGTGTACAACCAAGGAGCATCAAAGGCTGCATGCAAACACCAGCAACAATGAGCAGCATGGACCACATTCTTTTATCTCCTCAAAAGGAACCAACCCTGCAGATGCTTTGATCTTTACATAGCTTCCAGAATCATGACACCAGCAACAATGAGCAGCATGGACCACATTCTTTTATCTCCTCAAAAGGAACCAACCATGCAGATGCTTTGATCTTTACCTAGCTTCCAGAATCATGATGCAATAAATCCTATTGTTTAAGCCACACAGGTACTGGTACTTTATATGCCAATCCCAACAAAGTAATGCAATAGCCAATCTGTTAGATAAATTAGACATACTCGGTTTAGTAATAATAAATAAAATAAATTGAATGGTGTTTACATTTTAAAGTTTTTACATTTTTACCCTAAGATCTCTATGACTACTGGGCCAAGATAGTGGTTTCCCTTGCTATTTACCTAATAGGACTATTAGGAATCCATATTCTGAACTAGAATCATTAATATTACATAAATCACCAGCTGACCTTGGCCAAGTCTCTTACCTGCCTTAGGTCTTTGTCCTCTGTAAAATAAAGGGGTGAGGCTAAAAGCCCTCCCATTTCTAGCTAAGACATCCTGGAAACTTACAGGAAATCTTGATGATCCAGGAAGACTTGATGGCCCAAAGTCCATGTAGATGGAGAGTAGAGCTATTTACAGAAATTGGCTCTGCTAATATAGAACTAAAGAAAAATATTAAAAGAGATAGCTCTAGCAAATTAAATATTCAAAGTGAAGAACTATGAATTTATTAATTCTGTCAGCACTTAGAACACATCATTTTAGAATAAATATTTCAGAAATATTATTTTTATTTGCTGTATGTTATTGTTAACAAAGGAATCTGCTATCTAGATTTGTCATGTCATTAATGAATCAACTATGAAACACAATTTAATTGTTTTACATTATCTGTTTACTATTGAATTATATTTTTAGACTCTCCTAAAATGGCCTAATGAAAAATGAAGATGCTAAATGACTGCTTCACCTGCTTATTCTGTGCTGTTTGCTGAAAAGCATTAGAAAATAGATACATTGATTGTTTGGGGATTTTTTTTTTTCTTAAAGAGTAAATCCGGGTGGGGAGATGGAGCTAATAAAATATCCTAAAAATATAACACATTTTCTTTTGCTAGCTTTGTAGTATAATTTTGATTATACTAAAAATCAATAAAAGAAACTTTTGCACTCTAGCATTGAATCAGTTTGGTATAATGATTTGATTAGAGCAACTAATTGAAAGTTATGTCAGTGCTACCTTTAGGTCTGGCAAGAGACCCTGCCCTAGCTTCTGTGTACTAGATTCCAGTACTGACTTTTCTCTGGCTACTCCTCAGCAGGCAAGCAGGCTCCAGGGTCAGGGCCATGCCCACAGCGAGCACCCAGACAGACAGACAGACAGACAGACACACACACACACACACACACACACACACACACACACACCTTCTAGAACTTATGAAGGGTTCCCCTGATGTTTCCTGTGCACAGGGGCCCATGTTGCTTTCCAATCCCTCTTTGTTGGGTGGACCATCATTGGCCTCTACCCTGATGCCGAGGGGAAGCTGAGGCAGGCATATGGGCAGAGCTAGGATTTCTGGGCTGGGGAGCAGGAAGGACATACACATCTGTGCCAGTGAGGGAGGTTCTGCTGCTGGAGCCTCGGTAGGGGTGCAGGGACTAGGGAAGGAGTCTATCCTGGGCTTCCAAGTTCTTAAGAAGGTGCCTTGGACAAGGTAGTAGCAGAGAACCCCTTTTACCTACAGTCTGTTATCTTGATTTATAACTTTTAGTATTGAGGCAGATGGCACTTGGCATTCCGTTTGGGGCCTTGATCTGGACCTGGCAAAGTGAAAGAAGGCTAAGTGACCACCTAATTTTATATTGTCGATGGTTCCATTTCTCCTACTAAGGATCAGCTTCCTGGTTTAAGTCACATCTTGCACATGAGCGAAATTAAGGGCTGAGGAAAGAAACCAAAAGTCACGAAGAAGTGAAGGGACTGAAGTACATGGTGGGGGCATGGCATATGGTGGCCTTCTTCAGGTGGCTTCTCACCACGCAGGGAAGGTGAAAACTGATGCTGCTGGGACTTCTCACAGACGCCGCCACCTATCAACTAATCTGACGCTACACTGACACAGTCCTAACAGCCGCCTCTGTCCCTGTGAGGGGCCTTGGACTCGCAGAGCAACCTGCATGTGGAGGAGCAGCTGCCAGGAACCCAGGGAGGATTCCTAGGACGTCTGGACGCGGTCAATGGAGCTGTCTGTATACACGAGTGCCTTGCAGGCCACAAGTGGAAGCCCCCTCGTCATGACTGGAATATTAAACACATCCTGAGAGGCGCGTGCATTTTCAAGTAAGCTAGATAGTACATCCAGGGTTGTCAGTGCTGGTAGGAAAACAACCTTATCAGAGTGCCTGGCATTCAGCGAGTCCTGGGAGGGAAGGAGAGGGAAAAAGGGGGAAAGAAGCGAGAGCGAATATGCCTTGTAAAGTTAATGCAGCTAATGTGAGTTCCTAAGGATGAGAAGAAGGCAAAGGGGCAGAGGGGTAGAGGGACAGCGGAGGGTCAGAAAGAGGGACTCCAACTGCGGGGAGCCCGCCCCGCGGAGCCCGCCCCGCCCCTTCCGGGCTTCTTTCCCACCTAAATGTATTTGCCACACCCCTCCATGGCGCCACGCACTGTGAGAAACCTCGCTTATTCCCTTACATGTTGCCCCGCCCCTCCGCTACAAGGCCCCGCCCCGCCCCACCAGTTTGCTCCTCCCCCGCTGGCAACAGCGAGCTGTGTTTACCGAGGTGCATGCTGGGACAGTGTCCGTGGCAACCCGGGCCCACGGCCGGCTCTGAGGCCAGGCGGGAGGGCGCAACCTCGGGCGGCAGTATGTGCCAGCCTACTGCTGCGTCCCTGTCCCTGCCGAGCTCCGAGTACTACGAGAGGTTGGGCCGCCTCCAGCAAGAGCTGCGGGACAGGTACGCCGACTGGGTGGGACGGGGCTGGCGCTGCGTGGGCCCTCAAGGCACCCTGTTCCTTCCCACAACTCCGCCTTGGGCCACGCTGGCCATCCTGGACGTCCCGACCGCGCCTAGACTGCGGCTTCTCGAGTCCCCGGGCTTGGGGGTGACACGGAACTGCTGGGTCTCCCCTAGGCGATCAAAGCCGCGTCTCAATTTGCCCAGACGCGAGAGTGGGAGATCTCCTGCCTGTCACTCAACATCAAGCCCTGTGAATTTCTCCAGTCCCCTGCTGCACGCCTCCTCTCTTCAGATTGTCATCCCACCTTGATAGCAGCTCTGCATCCAGATGACAGGTCCAGGAACTCAGGAGGAAGAGAGTGTGTGTTAGATATGCCGCACTCAAATGCAGCGGTCTTGGTGGTTGATTGGTTTGTGTTTTAGTGGGTAGCTGGGGCTGGTTAGATTTCCAGAGAAGGGATGAAATTTCCAGCCAGTGAAGTTCAACTTCCACAGAGTTCATGTTGCTTTTGATTAACTTAGGAAAGATGGGAGCCTAAAAACAGCTAGATCTAAAAGTAAATAAAGTGAAAGAATTAAAAAGCAATTGACTATAAATAACCACATGAAAGGTAAGTTGTTGGAACTCATGTAGCTGCCAAATTAATTGGAGTTACTCATCTCATTAGTTGACAAGAGAGGAAATAGATTTTTAAATCTCTTGATAAATGAAACATTTAATGAGCATTAAAAATTACAAAATCATTCTTGTGAACAGGAAAGCTGTCTGACAATTCCAAAATGATAGCGATACAATGATTACATATAAGGTAAAGGCAGAAGTGAGTGATTTTGAAGAGAAATTACATTCATCTTATGCTAGATTTAATTTTTGTCAGTTATTTATAGAGCATCTAAACAGGTCTCCTTGTTTGCACCGTATTTTATGTTCTTTTTCACGTCCTGTTTTCTTCCTTCTTACTGCCACTCACCTACAGGGACTTCTTCATCTCCAATTAAAAAAAAAATCATTCCCTGCAGAACCTTCCCTGCCTCAACCCATTTCCTAACTTTTGCACCCTTTGCATTCTCAAAGCACTCTCTAGGTGTTGGGGCGTGGGGGCGGGGGGCTTAAAGTGACGTGCTCTTTGCATAGACTGAGAATTCCAGGAGGCTAAGAACCAAACTTAGCTCAATCTTGAGCTCATAATAGAATACTGGTATTGGAGCAGGTGCTTGGTAAATATTTGTTGAATTTATGGAAGAAATCCCAAAGTCAACCAGCTAGTGTCTAGGAGCTATGACTGTCTTACATAGAATGCTGTGGCTACATATTGTCACTGGATAATAACCATTTTCCAATCCACCAGGAAAAGTGCATCTTATGATATTTCCAAGATGATGTTAAATGTCAGCACATCCCTGATAATTAGAGAACAGGACATTGCTGTGTTTCAGGACACTTACAGTGCTTTTGGGTTTATTGTCTTTTCTGTTTGAAGAGTGGATTAGCTATCGCAGGCCTTCAGTTATTGTGTCTCTCTCATCTAAAGACCTGATCTTAAAATGTTACTGATTTAAATGGTGTTTTTTTAAAACTAGGTTAACTATGAGTTATTCTTGCTTCCTGTGCTAGGAACACCTGGCTGTTTATAGTCCGTATGGTACAATAACTGTGTAATCATTACACACTTTATGTTTAACACTTATTTGCTTTAATTATTAAGCAAGGTGAGGCTGTTGAAATTATATAAGAAATTCGAGTTAAATTTTATGGCCTGTTCGTGCTTCTGCATTTGGAGATTTGTTTTATTTTATAAGTCAGTAAAAATCTGTTGCTGTGTATATTCATTTTTCATTTTAAGAATCCATAACTAACTCTAATGCATAGTACACACAAAATAGAGGCAAATAACTTTAAATAAAGATAAAGCTGCAATGAAAATGTAGAAACCTGGGTTCTAGTCCATGACCAGTTGAGAGACCTTGATCAAATAATTTTGGCCTTTCTGAACCTTGGTTTTTCTCCAGAAACGAGGGGACTTGAATAATATGTAAAGCAAGGTCTCACATTTTTTTTCTTTATTTGACTAATAGGCCTTAAAGTTTAAAAATATTGAAAGCTGTAATTTTGTGAAGCAGTGCATAAAGGACATCATTGTGTTATATTTGGATGCACCCTTTTCCCCCCATTAAGTTTATTGGTACATTTTAGGTGTACAATACAGTTACATTCATCATTGGGATCTTGTACCTTTACCTGATATATATTGGTTCTTATTTTTTCCCCATTCCCCTGCCCTCCCTTCACCCACTCCACCCTTCCCTATTTACAGATATTTTGTTTCCATTTTTTCCTTTCCTCATACTTTCCTTTTCCCTTCTTTCCTTTTCCCCTACCCTTCCCACTTCCCCTACTCCTTTAGACCTTTTCTTCCTATTTCACATTATCAGTTAAACAATTTGAACCTTATTTACACTTTTAGTTTTTCACACCAGAGAAACTATTCGGCATTTACACATGTGTGTCCTATTTATTTCACTTAAGAGTTTGGCCTCAATGTGGATGCACCTTTTTATTAAAATCAATCCTGGTGATCACAAGGACCACTGTTTTCTAAAATTCCATAGTTGTTTAAAAGATTGAAATCTGGGTAGTAGACAAGATGGTTTATCAATCCAGAAACTTCTGGGGAATGGGATATTTAAAAACAAAACAAATACTCCCCACCCTTCCCCAGCCCTTTTAAAGGAGATCATTGAAATGTTAGCTGGTCTAAAAACTGTGTCCTCATAACTGTCATATTTTGAGCTTAGGTCATTTTAGCTGTATTCTCACAGAGACATAATTTTATAGTCTGAATGTTTTTCTGTGGGTATACAGTGTTCTCTCTGCATTGTGGTGAGAGTCATTAACTGAATCTTGAAGAATTTGATGGAGTGACTTGTAGTGTGTATAGTGCCCACAAGCATGGTAGAAACATGTAAGTGGAATTGGCTCTTAGAATTATTGTATAGAAAAACATCTCTTTTAAAGACCCATTTTTTCAATGCCAATATTGATTCAACGTGAGATATCATAATAGTTTAGAAATTGACACTGAGATATTAGTTGAGTCAAGCTGAGTATAGTGGAGAATTATGATATTGAGGCCAAAAACAGAGTAATAAATGGCTTAAAAGGAGAGCACTCAGCCATATCAGGAGCTCTGAGCTGTGTCAGACTTGCCATGGTCCTGATGAAGGAGTGCAGGTAACTGAAAACACAGACCATGGAAGCATACAAGGCAGTGTGTTTGAAAGGTTCTGAAATATTTGTGAAAAGGCAGTCCTCTAGTAAGGCTTCTCTTGCCTTTTTTATTGAGATTAATATCAGGTTTTAAGTCTTATATTTTTTAACAGGCTGAGGGGGTTAGAAAGTTGGCCAGTGGTAAAGAATTGACAAGATTCATGCTACTCTGCCTGGAATAGAGGGCCATAGGGTGTTTGTGATCTTTCATTGTGTGAAGTGTTCTTTTATGGAAAGGAAATGTGATTAGTAGGCTCTTACAAGTACAGAAGACAGAATTGGAATAAAGAAGTTTTGAATTTGTTATTAAAAAGAGCTTGCTGCTTGGGAGAGGATAGACTTCCAAAGAGACTTTGATCCTTTTTCAGAAAATGTTATAGATTAATTTAAAAAATCATTTCAAAATAAGTTCAAGCTTTAGAAAAGTTATAAATGTGGGACAGAGACCACCAATATTCCCCTTATCCAGATTCCTCAACTATTCTATTACATTTTCATCTTTTCTACTGACACCTTTAATCTTTTCTGACCCTTTTGAGGATTATAGATAGGATACCCCATTACTCCTAAAATCTCCAGTGAATATTCCCATAAAACAAGTGTTATGGGGTAATTCCTTTAGAAATGGCTCACCAATTAAATGTATTCCATGTTCTGCTTGCCTTAAATGAAAAATTGAACAAGACAAGCCAACAGGTGCTGAAAATTTATTTGAAAAGTGAGGAGTGAAGTAGTAAGGGAGAAACTGGCTCTGTAGAGTGAATTTGGGCCAAACAAGAAAAAAAAAAAAAAAGTGCACTCTAGAAGGACAGAGTGGGATACCATGAGGAGTCATGACAGTGGTCTCCTCCTGGCGTCTATGTCCTTATATGTTGTCCACATCTCATAGGAACTCATGAGAAGTTCCACATACAAGGTCCTGGGGGTTATTTGGCACTATCCTGGGACCTTGGTTTTTTTTGTTTTTGTTTTTGTTTTTTGGGTTTTTTTGGTACTGAGGATTGAACTCAGGTCCTTGTGCTTGTGAGGCAAGCAGCAAAACCACTGAGCTAAATCCCCAGCCCTTATCCTGGGATCTTGTAATTGACAAGTCCTGCTTATTTCCCTAGCCAGCTTTCCAGGTCCTACCTCCTCTCACAAGGTTGCTCTCATACACAACCCTCTTTACAGGATTTAGTCTTGGTGCTCCAGTCCATGGACCCTCATCACATTTCCAACTATCCTAAACATTTGTCCCTTTTTCTTTCTGGCCGAGTCTCATCTGGGAACCCAGGCTACATTTTGTATACCATGTCTCTTCACTGTCCCCCAGTCTGGAGCAGTTCCTCAGGCTCACCTTTTCTTTCATGCTCCTGACAGTCACATAGAGTTCAACCCTTATTCTAGAGGGTGATCTGCAAGCTGGGTCCATCTCTTGGTTCCTCCAGAGCAGACTCCAGTCACACATTCCTGGCAAGAGTACTGCAGAAATCAAGCAGTGTGTTTTGGCACAGGTCATGGAGCACGTAAGTCTTTGTCTCTTCAGTTTAATGACAAATTACCCAGACTTCCCAGTCTTCATGACCTAAGCACCCAACTGAGTATAAAACCTTTCAAGGGGAAAAATGACTAATAAAAGTTCCTAATGTAGAAGCAATTATACCATATTTCCTTCATATCTATTCTGAGTTCACTGTTAATGAGACAGTAAACATCTGTGGGAAGCTAAAATGTGGTTTTATTATTTTTTCCCCTTTTTAGCATAGGCATTCCCCAGCTGAAGAATAGGTTGTATTCCCCAAGTAAAGGCGGTGTGTTTGGTGTTGGATTTCATTTACCCATCAAAAGAATTTTGGATAAATGGAAATTTCCATTTAATATTGTACTAGGACAGAAACTTATTTAATTTGTAATACAGCTTCGGAGTAATTTGGGAGCTTTTTTCCTCAGTACTGGGGATTGAACTCAGGGCCTTAGCACTGGCTACATCTCCAGCCTTTGTTATTTTTCTTTTTATACAGTCTCACTGCCCAAGCTGGACTTGAACTTGCAACCCACCTGCTTCAGTCTCCAGGAGTGTACTACTATGCCCCAGGGGGATAATTTTTTAAGGAAAAAAAGATGAAGGAAAACAGAAACAAAAATTGAGTTCAAAAGGAAACTTGTTATCCTGCAGGAGGCCAGCTTGAGATCACCTTCTGATGGATTACTGATCTTAGTTTCACAGTCTTTTTTCAGTATTCTTCTTTCAGGAATGATGTGGCTTCTCTTACAGCCTTTAGTTAATGTTAACTTAGAACAGCAGTTAGGCTTTAGTGAGGTGAGACTCTGACTCTGAGTGGTGGCAGCAGATGGAGCCCTCTATGGTTGCGTCTTCTTGGGAAGTGGCTTCCCACCACATCTCTACCCTCTGCCCCCAGCTCTTGGCTGTCATTGCTCCCTTTCTCCTACCTCTAACCTTGTCACTTAAGTCTAGCGTTGGAAGTCCTTGGTCTTTGAATTCCTCCTCTGGCTTACTGTCAGGACTCACCTGAACATCGCTGGTTACTCCTTAGTGCTACCATCAGACAGGCAAGACAACATTGCAAAGTTATAAAAGGTTAAGTCTGGAGTGTTAGGAGACCTGATCTTCATCAGGTGTGAGTGAGGCCAGGTGTGCTTCCCAGCGGCCTCATCATAACTCTGTCCAGGCCTCTGACTAGGAGCAGAGTGAGCTACCAGTTTTCAGTCCAGCATGCTTCTGGGGAAGCAGGCCCACTGCTTGAACACCACCAGCTGGGAGAAACTGGCCCTGTTTTACTTTACAGATTTATCTTATTTTTGTCTGTCTTCCCCTGAAATGTCACCTTTTCCAGGGCAGGGCCAAAGGCAGCTTGGTCACCATGTTAGACTTGGGCCCAGAGCAGCGTCTGCCTTGTTCAGGATTCTTGAGAGGCACCTGCTGAGTGACGAACACGTGTCCCAGCCTCTCCTGCTGTATTTTCCCCTTCACTTGGAGAATTTGGGGGTTTTGCCTCCTGTTCGCCTCTGTTTTGTTTTTGGACTTCCCTAGCAATTGATGTTTTTATGTCTTTGTTTCAAGCACATCTGGCATTTTCTGCTTTTTAGACCAAAGAAGCATTCTCACAGAGATGTGATTTTGAAAGAGATTATGGCTTAGGTTGATCAGCTTATTACTTATTAATATGATGATTTATGAAGTATTTCTGTCTGGATTATAGTGAGAAGAAGAGACTAGAACTGGAAAAGGAACTTTATGAGTATAATCAGTCTGACATATACAGGTAAGTGATGATGGTGCTGACAGTTTGCAAGGCAGTTTGAATATATGAATCAAAATTTAAACCGTGCTCCAAATTCTGTAGTTGTAATACTTTTCCCATTCTTTTATTTCTAAGATGTAATAATTTGAATTGGTTGCTGCAATTTAATATTGTTATGAAGAAAATTGATAAAGAAAATTATGAAGAAAAATTTTATTATTTGGTTTTTGCATTATTTTAGGAATATGATTTGCTTAAATATTTTAAATTAACAGTTTCTATAATAATTATGGCATGTAATTATTATAGTTGATTTTTTTAACAAACTGCTGTAGGCAGGGTTACCTGGTTTCTCATTTTTCATGGATATATGAGAATGACTATTAAAAATATTATAATTATAATAGTGGATAATGTATATGTTTTCCCTTCCAGATTACTTAGTATGATATTAAAAACAGATTTTAATATCTTAATTTCTGTTTTATAAAAACTAAACGTTATTCATAACCTAAATGTATACCATTACCTTTCACATTAATATAGAGTTCCTGGCTATGATGGCATTAACTTTGTGATTATGCATGTCACACTAAGAGTGAGAAATGAAAATAATTGAGAGAGAGAGAGAGATGAGAATATTGTAAAACCAAATCACCCATTAAATCTGTTTGTTTCCTTTTCTTCAGAATTATCCATTAGTTTAAAACAAATGTACTTCCAAGGTTTCCATTCAAGGTAGATGCCCTAGCAGCTTCAAAAGAAACACGAAGCAGCTATCTTGAGGGTGCCCTGGCCTCAGGGTCAGCCCAAATTGGAGGAGGTCCATGGCAACTGTTTTGCCATCCCATCATTGATGGGGCTGAGACTGGTATAGACTCCATGCAGCCTGTACTTGGGCAGCTTCTTGTACCTTAAAATCCAAACTAACTAATGTGTCTGCCTCCACCTGATTCCCCAAGAAGGCAGTGCCTGAATGTAGGGTTTATGTGGGTGGTGGTTGACTTGTGGAGGTGGTCACACAGCTGTGAACGAGGCTGAGAAGAAGGATGTGGCAGCTGCCTGGTTTGCCTCCTCCAGGCCTTCAGAGGAACAGGGGTGACTGCCCTCTGCTCTGCTGAGCACCCCCATCCATTGTAAAGGTGGCCTGGTGGAGTAAACTCCTTCTTGAATGCAGGTGTGTGTTTCCTGCTGCTAGCAACGGGAGACCATCCCAAGAGAGCAGGTGGGGAGCTGAGGCTAGTGTTGCCAGGCAGCTGCAGTGGTGGCTGGTACAAGGAAGGTGATGGGATGGACTAGGGTTCTGGAGGTGTCCCCTACCACAACTCACCTTTTCTCCATCACCACCATCTCTTTCCACCCTCTCCCTAAAATGCTATGTTGCCTGAAAGTTTAGTTTCTTAAGCACAACAAGCTCTTTGAGTATAGCACATAAGCACATAGGATCTGTTGGTAAGCACCTCAGTTGCGACCCAGCAGCTCTCAGCCAAGTGAGCTTGTGGCAGTTATTTTTTTTTTAAATTGAGTTTATTGGTACAATCTAGGTATACAGTACAGTTACATTCATCATTGGGATTCTGTACCTTTACATAATAGGTCTTGATTCTCATTTTTTCCCCTTGTCCCTGCCCTCCCTTCACCCTTCCTCCCCTCCCCATTTACAAACACTTTATTTCCATTTTTTCAGTTTCTCATATTTTTTTCCTCTCCCTTATTACCTTTCCCCCACCCTTCCCACTTTCTCTACACCTTTAGCCCTTTACTTCCTATTTCACATTATTATCTATCTCATTAGGATCCTGTGTACTCTTACAGTTTTTCACACCAAAGAAACTATTCGGTATTTCAGTTAAAGAAATCTCTGTATGAACATTAAAAATAGGAAATCCTAAAATGAAACTAAAAAGGAAAGTAAAAGAGAAAAGGCAATGATGTAACATTAAAATAATCCTTAATTCTGGAGATGAAAATGGTCCCCGAACATATTTAAATTGCTTCTTGATCTTATAGTCTTATCTTATTCTTTTTTTCATTATTTAGAGAATACTTAGTTTCTGTAATCAAACCCACGTAGATATGACCTTACATATTTAATACAGTTCGTTACCTCTGTACACATGGAAAAAAAATAAATAAAAATAAATTAACATTTCTAGACCAATATGGCTGTCCATTTCTGTACAATGCCAACTCAACACAGTAAATTGGGATGACTTTTTCCAAAGTTGGCAGCACCGTTAAAGTTTCCCAAAATTCAATTTGTATAAATATGTATATCTATATTTATATTTATATTTATATTTATATAAAAAGACTAATAATAGTATGTTATGCATCGATAGCAGCAACAGCTTTTCCAGGTTCTGCAGTCATCTGAAGAAAATTATAGAATTCAGCACATTCCATTAAAAACAAAACAAAGAAAAGAGTAATATCCAGGAAACAGCAAAGTTCTGTTGCTGTTGTGGTACCTGGGAGCATTTTTTTTTTTTTAGCATCTTAATCATCATCTGGAAAGAGAACATTCTAGAGTAATATCATTAAATGTAGCTCTGATAAAGAACGGTCCCTACTATGTATCATAGAGTAGGGGAAGAATTTGACATTAAGATAACTGAGGCATGTAGGACCCCAACTAGCCACAATTAAAAAAAAATCTACACCTAGACATATAATAATCAAGATCCCAGAAACCCAACAGAAGAATAAAATACTACAGGCAGTAAGAGAAAAGAAACAAATCACATGCAAAGGAAAGCCCATCAGAATCACAACAGACTTTTCAACACAAATCTTTCAGTCAAGGAGAGCCTGGAATGAGGTATTTCAAGTACTAAAAGAGAACAACCTCCAACCTAGACTGATGTATCCAGCAAAACTCTCTTTCAAAATGGATGGAGAAATAAGACACTTCCACGACAAAGAACACCTGAGAAACTACATGAATACCAAACCAGCACTACAAGGAATTCTAAACAAGATCCTAGAAAAAGACAATGAAGGCAACAACACCATGAGGCCCAACAGAGCAAATCAAATAGGCAAGGCAAGAAATTAAAAGGAGAAGGTGAAATAGTAAAAAGAGTCAACAAAAGGCCAATAACATGTCAATAATAAGTCAGTGCATATCAGTTATAATCAGCAATGTCAATGGCCTCAACTCACCAATCAAGAGAAATAGACTGGCAAAATGGAATAAGAAGCAAAATCCAACAATATGTTGTATACAAGAAACACACCTAGTGCAAAAAGAAGCCCATAGACTGAAAGTGAAAAGATAGAAAACAATTCTCCATGTGACAGGAGCCCAGAAAAAAACAGGGGTAGCAATCTTATTTGCAGACAAAGTAAATTTCAAACCAAAACTGATTTTAGTATTACTGATGTAGGACGGTACTGTATCATACTTCTATGAATGTAAAATATCTTGTACCTGCTTTGTGGCAGTTATTTTAATGGGGAATAATGATAATTATGGACAAGCTCATAATGAGTTAATACGCACAGAGTCTTCAAGCAGTGAAGAGTCAAGAACTTAGGTATTGCCTTTGAACTCTCTGGCATGCAGTTTATGCTGCCTAGAAGTTTTCCTCTTATCTCTTTATTCTTCTTTTTCCCCAATTTCGCTTAACTTTTATCCATTTTTCAGGACTTCCACTAGGAAGGTCCCTACTTCCCTTTTATCAGGTCAGGGTTGCCCAGTCTGTGAAAGTGCCTTTCCATTTCCTGCACAGTCTTCACCACACTGTGTTTACTCAGTTGACTTTTTTTTTTTCTATTGACTGTATGTGACTGGCTTTCACGTTTAGAGGGCCAAGCATATGAGTGATTGCGTGGACAGGTGGATGTCTGACTAGATGTCTGGTAAAGAAGGGAGCTAGAATGTGGATGGAGAAGGCTTGGTTACTATGGCACCTACTCCAGACAGATATTGGACACCCGCTTTGCTAAGTGCCTCAGTGTGAAAAACCCTGTGTTAGGTTTACCTCCATTTCTGTCATTTGTGTCCAAAATGCAGGTATAGGCAAAACAAAAAAGAAACGGTCATAAGTTCTTTTCAGAATGGTAACAGGTAACCACTGTCAAGGCACATCATCAATTTGAAAATTGTTGGCCTAGTGTTAGAGGTTTAAGGTCTGTTGGTAATTAGTGTTGAAAATATCTATTTTCTTTGCAATCTGTGTTTTGGAATGAATATATTTGTGGTATTTAAAACTCATTTTCTTGGTAAAAGAATGTTAGGCTATTAGCAATGTAAAAACCATGTAACAGGTACTCTTATGATTTCAATACTTGTGAAGAAGAGTTGGATTAGCAGTGTTGGTGACCTGGGAAGAGCAGGAGGACTATTTGGAGCTGTCCAGTGTGTCGTTTGGTGCTTCACAATTTGAGTAAAATCTATATATTATTATAAACATATTTTTAAAGTATGGTTATTGGAATGTCTAACCAATATTTTTATAAAATGAGAGCTTTTTAATATTTTGAACTTTTACAATTTCTCAGTTGTATGGATTATCATTTATAGGTTTGTCCTATTCCCATATGAGCAAGTAACTTTGAAGTTATATGTCATATATGAAAATGCCAATGTGTTATGTAACTGAATGTGGCTACATAGATGCCACTCCTGAAATCATACTTCATTTTGAGAAATAAATTCATATAAATCTTTACCATGAGAGTGTTACTGTGTGATCTTGTGTATGTTCTTCAAGAGTAAGAGTATTCTGCCATGATGTACCCCTTGTGGCACCTCAGTGATGCTGATTAATATCTCTCTCTGAAAATGTATATGCACTGTATCTTTTGAGTTACAGTGCCTTGGGTAAAGTATCCTAGATTTCATTGCCTCATTAACAATTTTGTTAAAGAAAAGTTATCCTTAGATCTGTCAGAATCCACTCCATTGTTAAAAATTTTGCTTTTTTTTCCCTAGAGTTAAGCTGAAATATGTAAAACTAAAGAAATACCTGAAGGAAATAAATGAATCTGAAAAGAAGGCTCGTACTCGAAACCAAGAATATGTAAAACAATTCGAGCGTGTTCAAGCTCACGTTGGGCACTTTACCACAAGTACAAAGCTTCAGGAACTGAAGGTGACACCTTGTATTGTACTATGTTTTTAAAAAACCTATTTTCAGAAGAGTGACAGTCACAAAGTTTCAGTTGGTTGCCCGTATGATTAAGTATAAGCTTTATCTTGAATTACCATGTGGCCACATTTGATCAGAGAACTTGAAATTGCATTTCCTAATATTGCTACCACAGTTGAGGAATTAATGGAGTATCTGTGTCCCAGATAGGATCACTAGCCAGCCCCAGGTGCAAAGTCCGACACTTGGTAGTTGTTGGTGGAATGATCAAATTTGAGCAGCATTAGTTTCCTCTACAAACTGTTACCTTTTTACAGGGTCCTTTTTCTGTGCCTGTGCTCTTCCCTCCTGGCCCAGCAGGACATTGGGGACAGCACTGAAGGATAGAAATAGTCATTCTCCTGGGCTGTGCAACTGCTCTTTGAGGCCCTTTTGCTCTGGTACATCATTCCCCTCCAGGGTTTAATTACTTGCTGTTCCACAAGTCAGGGCAAGTGTGGAAGCCTGGAGTGAGGCCTTTCTGACCATTTGCATGGCTAGGCATTGTTGCCCAGTTAACCCAAAGAACACCGGGTACAGGAGGAGTTGGCTTCAGCATCTTGCTGCCTTTTTTTTTTCCTTTCAGTTTTTCCTTAGCCTAGTTTTATTGAGAAAATTTCAACTCTACAGGAATTTTTTTTTTTTGTACCAGGGATCGAACTCAGGACCTTGCACTTGCAAAGCAAGTGGCAGAACCACTAAGCTAAATCCCCAGCCCTCTACAGGAAAATTTAAAAACTTATTATTAAGACCACTTCCCTGTTCTCCACTTAGAGGCAGTGCTTGCAAATATTTTGCTGTATTTTCTTGGTGTGCATAAAAGTCTGCTTCATGTATCGGTATACTTAGTGTGATCTCCTGAACAGCAGGCAGTCTGTCTATATGCCTGCAGTCACACCTAAGAAAAGTAATGACAACTCCATCATTAAATAATCAGTCTGTATCAATTGGCTTTTTTTTTTTTTTTTTTTTTTGCAAGGACATAATGCCCAACATCCACTACTTAAAGGGGAAAATAGTTTATTTATCTCATTTTCAGAGGTTACAGTCCATGGTCAGCTTGTTCCAAGGCAGAAATGTCACGGGAGAAGGTTGTGGCAGAGTGGAGCTCCTCAATTCATGGTGCCTGAGGAGTAGAGCAGAGGAACAGTGCCAGACATGAAGGGGCAGGAACCAAATACGGTACCCATAGTCACACCTCCCTGACCCACACAAACACACCCGGAAGTGTGCTTTACTAATCCACTAGGCAGCCTCCAAGCCAATCAAGTTGACCGTTAAGCTTCACCATTACAGAGCCCCTCTTCAAATCTCCCCAGTTCTCCCCAAAGGTATTTTATACTTCCAGACCTTAAGCCCACTAGGATTCATATAGTTCTTGTTTTTTATGTTACTAGCTATTGTACCTTAAGTCTTTTAATCTGATTTCATCTCCTGCCATGCTTCCTCTTATTCCTCACAACACAGATTTTGCAGGGGGAGGACAGGTGTGGCCATTTTGAGTTGGAGATCCCATTTACTGGAGCAGCACCCCTGTATTTTCTGAAAACTAGAAATGCAGTTAATCCAATACCACCCAGGGACCTTTGCGGTGATGCAGATGTCTGGTCCATCTACCACTGTAGCTCCTGTTGAGCACTGAAAATGTAGCTGTGATGCTGAGGACTGTGTTTTCCTTCTGTTAATTTTGAAGGAAATAGTCGCAGCTATTGACTAAATAAGTCACAGTTTCACTTCCACCAGCCTTCCCTCAGAAGCCATGCTGTCAGGAGATCCTGCCTGAGTGAGCCCTTTGTTACAGTGGTGATCTCTAGATGTGTCTGTTTTAGTGTACCTTCGACCTGTAAATTAGTAAATAACTATAGAGTGATAGTTTGGCATCACTAGAATAATGTGTTCCTCACTAGCATTCTATCTAGTGGTTCTGGGATCCGTTGATGTGCCTTGCCTGAATCAGTTATTACAGTGGAGATTGTGAAGTGGTGATTTTCTGCTTCGTGTCCTGACTTTCTTCTGTAACAAAGGACATTTTCCTCCCTTCCCCTACTTTCTTTCTTTTTTTAATATCACAGTTGATCTAATTATTTAGTTAGTTTGTTATCAGTTATAGTATTTTTTATTGCTCCTGTTTTTCAAACTTGACTAGTTTCCTTATCATTTAGGGTGCTGGAGGTTGAACCTAGGCCGTTCTGTATGCTGAGTACATACTCTACCAGCCATTGAGAATTGTCTTAGTTACATCCTCCTTGGTGAGACCAAATATCTGGTACCCACAAGTTAAAGGAGGAAAGGTTTATTTCAGCTCACAGTTTATAGAGGGCTAGCTTCAAGGCAGGGCAGCATGGCAGAGGGGCATCACAGAGGAGAAACAGTCCATGGTATGGCAAGAAGGAAGCAGCAAGCAGGTAGCAGAATCCCTCTTTCCCTTTATATTCTATCCAAGCTGTCAGCCTATTGGGTGGTGCCGCCACCATCCAGGATGGGCCTTCCCATTATCCACACCCAGAACTATGCTACAAATCAGTGGACTAATTTAGTTCACACACACCCTTAATCCATATTCACATACCCTAGATCCAGCCACCACTGAAAAGCCCCAATTATGAGCATATGAGGCTTTGGGGGACGTCTAGACACAAGCCATAATAGGAATTCTTTAGATTGACTCCTGTGTCCTTTAATCATGGCCCCATTGTTCTGAGCCTTCTTTAGTTTTCTGCATAGGAAGATATTCCAGGCTTGATTTATATTTTCCCCATCTCAGACATGATATTAGCAGTCACAGCTTCAGAAGGCAAAGGCTTTCAGTGGGAAAGGATATTGAGAAGCTGAGGGTTAGCTGTGCTTAAGTCATAGCAAGTTTTGGGTATAGCACTCCAGCAGTATCTTAGTATTTAGGTAGAATGTTTAGAGTTCAAGAGCAGTTGTAACTATCTATGTCATAAGCCACTTTTCAGAAATTTCGCAGAGAAAATAAAAGTGGACAAAGCATAGAATTTTTCTTGAAGAAATAATAGAAAATGTCCTCTTATTTTCTGATGGAGGGCTTATTTATTGATAAAACCAAATGTGGGAGCAATGAATTTGAAAGGTAGGATCATCTTTTGTAAATATGTTTATATTGAGAGCTATTATAGTCAGAATTTTGCAAGGGAATAGATATAATACAGGACACATACTTTATAGAATTATTTTATAATAGTCACCCAAAAAGTCAAATGCAGAGGAGTGTAAGAGATCTAGAGACTCAAAGAATCCAGCCAAAGGTCTGGGTCCCAGAGCAGTGTTCTGCACAAGTCCAGCTGAAGTCTTTGAGTCCAAGGCAGTGTCCTCCATGAGTCCAGCCAGTGGCCTAGAGCCCAAAGCAATAACTCATGCTTCTCCCTATTGAGGACCTGCACCACAAAGGCCCAAAGGCCAATGATGGAAGCCAGAAAACCTGTGCCGGTGGGGTGAAGGATTTGTGCCACTAGGCTGAAGGATCTATACTGAAGCCAAGAAGTAATGCTGACGGTGAAGACTGAAGCTCCCCTGATGAGAACAGTAGCCATTCTTAGTGACAGCAAGTCCCCAAGTTCCTCCTCTGATGAGAACAACCAAGTTCCCTTCAGGAACACCAACAGCAGCAAGCTTCTAGAAAATCAACACCCAATGATCTTTCCCCCCCAGTTCTCTTTTTATGCCATTGGCAAAAATCCTCATGTGGGTCTTCCACATCTAGCCACACTGATTCAATTCAGCTGGGCATTCCACATTGACCGTTGGTTAATTCACCACAAGAGCATTTGTTATATATAATAGGATATATTTTTTAAAAGTTATGTATTGAGCTACAGAAGAGTATCATCGTAAGGGATTATTTTAAAGAAAATAATACACTGCAATTACAGAAATATGAAAAGCTTTATCCATATATATGATTCAAACATTACTTACAAGTTGATTTTTAGAATTTTGGATAAGAAGTATCTCTTAAAACATCATGCTGATGGCAGAGAAGAACAGATTAGGTAGTTAGAGTAGGAAAGATGTGAGTTGCATGAACTGTCCTGTCGTGGCTACTCCAAGTCTTCATTCCTGTACTTTCTAAGTACACATGAGACCAGACCATGTGTCAGAACCCAGCGAGCCATGCCATGGGTTCAGCAGAGTTTTGCATAGGGAAGTTGGTCTATTGTGTCTTCATGCTCTTCTTTTCTGGTTCTTCTTTTGCCTGTGTCCAGTGGTAGCTATAAGTATGATAACCACTGTCTCCTCCCAGTGTTCCCCATCTAGGTGTCTGAGCTTTGCCTCCTGTGTTGTCTGGGCAGGTGTCCACAGGGCACTACCTGCATACCTGCAATGCCAGGGCTATTTCCCCCAGATAGAGCAGATGACCTGCAGGTCGTACTACCAGAGGCAAGAAAGTGAATGAAAGTGAAGCAGTGGGAGAGAAATGGGATCTGCCCAAATTATACTGAATAGATTTCTCCCTCTATGGTGATGGGCTAGGGCTACCTGATTGTGTGTGTACCAATCTTTTAAGATGGCTCAAAGCTAAAACAGTCTCAACTGATTTTACTAATCATACTGTGTTATTTGGAGACCAAAGATAATTTTAGTGCTTTTTAAGGATATGGATGTGTTGTGTAGTTTTGAAAAAACAGTATTGGGACTGTAGGGCTGTATTGCCACTTGTCAAGTGGGTGAAGGAGCTACTAAACTCGGTGCCAGAGTGTAAGCATGAGTGTGAGTCCTGTGAGCAGCTTGGCTTCTCGTGCTCTCCTCCCTGCTCCTGGCATTGACTGCTGTCTAAAAGGGTCCTCGCCCCATCTTGTCCTCACTTAGAGCTGTTTTTCCCAGATGCCCTTTATCTTATCTCAGACAGATTGGGTTCTTCCCAAAGTAGCCTCCAAGAAGAGAGTCAGCTGTAAGAGACTCACCTGGGAGAGGAAGGAACATCAGGAGGCTGGCTGGGGGAGCAAGGCAAAGGAGAGCACAGCAAGTATCACCAAGCCCCCTTCTGCATTTGGCCACTCATGCCTCATTGCCCAGGGAAACTCTGGCAAGTGGTTGGGAGCATCTGAGATGTGTATTCGGGGCACTGTCTGGTGTGAATTGAGAACTGGTGGGCAAAGGCACAGGCAGCGGTAGGGTTAACCATGCCTTCCCAGATACAAGGAGTCTTAGGCGCAGAGACCCTGGTATTGGAACTCAGAGCACCCACAGTGATGCAGGACATGTGTAGAGTATCACCAGCATCTGCATAGTTCCCCTCAGCAGCAGTGCTAAACACAGGGTCCCCACACTGGGCATCTCTTCACTGGTTATGTCTTGGCCAGAAATGCTGCCCCACAGTTTTCAGAACAAAGGTCAGATGCTGGTCTCTGCCTGTATAACTGTATAAACATGCACCTCACACACATGCATGCACACATGCCCACATGTGCACACACTGTCGCACACAGACATGCACACTTGCTCACCTCTTCCTTTTCCTGTCCTCTCCTATCCATTTTTTCCCTCTATTTCCATCTGACCCTCCCATCTCTCTTCCTTCCCTATTCCTGGCTTTCAGCCTTTGCCTGTTCTCAACTCCTGCCTGTTTCTCCCCAGAGCCTTTATGTCTCCCATCCCTTATCTTCCCTCTCCTGTTCTGCATCTTCTCCTGCACACATGCACTCTTCACACACACACACACACACACACACACACACACACATCACTCACTTGCTCGCTCACATGCAACCACAGCACTTTAAAGCTGCTGAACAATTTGTATCTCCTCCAAAGCTCCAAATTATCTTCTCCCTACCTCCCTCAGAAGGCACCTCCCCTGCCCCCCTTTAGGTCTGTGTTATGTTACCCCAGGAAGCACTTTCTGCACCGGATTGGAATTGTTTACATGTCTGTTTTCTTTCTTTACTGTGAGCTCATTGCACATGCAACCACAGCACTTTAAAGCTGCTGAACAATTTGTATCTCCTCCAAAGCTCCAAATTATCTTCTCCCTACCTCCCTCAGAAGGCACCTCCCCTGCCCTGCTTTAGGTCTGTGTTATGTTACCCCAGGAAGCACTTTCTGCACCGGATTGGAATTGTTTACATGTCTGTTTTCTTTCTTTACTGTGAGCTCATTGTCTTCCAATTTCAGTGCTCTTACAATGACATGAAGTAAACACTCAGGAAGCACGGAGACCCCCTTGCCCTTGGACTGAAAATTCTTCCATTTTTTGTCTTGACTCTTGAGGACCATGAACAACTATGTGAGAACTAATGTGGTACTGCTTATACTCCATGTCAGTGATGAAGAACCTTTCAGAACTTTCAGTGATAACAAACAGCTCACTGCAGCATGCGTGCCATACGTTCGCCACCATGGCCCTAAGTTATAACTTTGCAAGAAGCATTTGGGTTTACTAGCAGAGGCATTCTGAAGATGTAATGTCATTATTTAAAGATTGATTCTCATTAGAAATTCTGTGGTTAGGTGATAGTGCCAAAAGAGAATAAGATTTGAGAACAAATATTTAAAACTCTTATTTACATTCCTTTTAAGTATTTCTACAGACACTGTGGAGAGGGCATGACCTTCAGGCTACTGAAGGACAAAATTGGTAGCAAAGCCCATTTTTATCAACCAGAGTGCCTTACTCATTAATATGTATTAGTTGAATAAATAAATGTTCTCCATACTTTTGATTAACGTTCACAACGTAGGGAGAAACACATACATTAGAGGAAGAGAAAACAGAAGGCTGTGAATCTGAGTTTCGTGTTTTATATTCACCTGAGAATTGAATCAGATAATTCATGTGACTCTGTACTCATTTCTTCAACTGTAATATGAGGAGTCAAAGCCAGCTGACCTTTAGTGTATGTTCATTTCCACTGTTCTCCTGTTCTATAATGGAGAATCCACTGTACTGTCCTAACACCAGCGGAAGAAGGAAGCTTGCAAGGCAAAAGGTAGTGGTGGCATGGTCAGGACCATAGCACTGGGACGGAAGAGACACTTCGGGTGTGAGCATGAGGATACAGATGAAGTATGACAATGCAGGGAGAGTGTATGGTAAGCTTGAGACATGCTAGAGACCTGAGGTATCTGCGCATACCTCTGGATCCCCTTCCCATGACCCTGGCTCCTAGTTAATGTTCCGTGAGTGATCTGAAGTAATGTGCGTGCACAGTGAGGATGCAGATGGGAAAGCCTCTTCAATTTGGTCACACAACATCAAAACAATTCCCATGAAGCAAATAGTAACAGACAGAATGATTTATCAGATGCCTGGACTTGATGCCCTTGGTTTACCACCCAATGCCAGATTTCCCAGCTGGAGCAGAGTATAAAGGGATTATTCTAGAGCAGCTCTGTACTAGGCCATGCTGCTGGTTATGAGTTAGGTAGTCCTTGAAGCAGCAAGTCTAACAGAAGTCTAGGCCAAGTAGCAGGAAGAAAATGGGATTAGGAGTCTATACTAGCAAGAGAGGATGCTAAGTCCAAATGGGAAAAGAAATAAGGGGCAACATATGAAAGACCAGTTGTTGGAGATGTAGATACAAATGAAGACATGTACCCTGATATTGAATATATATATATATATATATAAAAACAAATAAAGATGTACCCTGATATAGAATATATATATATATATATATATATATATTGGAAGGATTTACCTATACAATAGTTTACAAACTTTAAAAAAGCTTTTAAAAGTAACCAAATCCCTAAGGAAGTGGGAGCCTCAGGGAGTTGTAGAGCACAGCTGAAAGCTCCTGTTGACCCATGTTCAGGAGTGGATTTGATGGGTAATAACCAAGTGTCATATGTAAAAATGAAAGGTAAAGAACACAAGCCCCTTTAGGTGTCAACCTGTCATTCCAGGTAATATAAAATTAAAGTTTGTATCAATCATTGATTTATAAGAATACCATTCTGATTTCAAAATACATTGTACAGTTTTTCTTTGCACCAGTAATTTTGAAAAAGAGATCTATAGTTTGGTAACTTTTTCAGATGTATGGAGAACAACCTAATTTGAACTCTTGAAGATATCTTTCTTACTGTTCTTCAGAAAGCCTTTATGCAGTTATCATTTCCATTTTGCCTCAGCAATATGAATTGAATAAAACTCTCATGTTTTCATGAGAAAATTCTCTGTCTTTGGGAGGAACAGCTCTGAAATTAGCCCATGGTGATGAGATCAGGGAGAGTGCCCACTGGCCTCAAAGAGTGAAAGAAAGTGTGTGCAGTCACAGAAAAAAATAATTTTTGTTTAACTTGTAATTACATATTATAATCCATCTCTTATTGCTTTTTAAAGATAATTTCCCATGGACTTTATAAAATATGCCTGTTTAAAGCCCTTAGAATTAATTAAATATTTCTAAATTCGAAGGTGTAGATATAGAACAGAGATGTAATTGTTTTCAAAATTGCCTTATTTCTTCCTATTTTCTATTTTATCATTTCTAGCATGGCCTTGTGAAACTTTAATTAAATATCTATTTAGATCATTACTGCCTTCCATCATGTTAATAGCATTCTGCTACAGGATAAATAAATCCCTGTTACTAAAATATAGGGCAGCATATATACCTTTTAAAATATTTTGAGGGAAGCACCTCAGTTTTGGTTATTATTGTCTGTGCATATTGTGTGTCACTATAAACCCAGGCCTATATCATCTTCAAGCCAAGAACTAGGGAAGCAGCTTTCTAAGTTAATCATCTCATTAGGCAGTGGATAACTGCCTAATTTAGAAAATTTTTTAATACTGTACTTCTCCATGATGGACCACAATCAGTGACTTTTTAAGCTTTGACTGCTAATGTACTGAATTAAAGTGCTTTTTATGGCTTGCATTTAAGAAAGAGTTCAGAGCTCTTTCATCAGTTATATTGGGGTAATGATCTGGACATCTTTATATAGTTTTTTAGTAGCAGAGTAAACGTGAGTTTTATGATACTGATGACTTTCTATACAGTATCTTTTATTCCTAGAAAATGGAGTTGCTTTAAATTGATGATCTAATAGATAATACACTCAATTCCTATGACTATTAGGAAGATTATGTTATACAGATATTGCATAAATAAGAAGTCAGTAAGGTTGATTTTTTCCTTTGTTTAGAACAAAAAATTTTAAAGAAATACTAATATTTTACTTTCATGTTCAGGTAACTGGATTTTTACAATAACTTATGATTGTCAAGCTGTATCATATATGTACATATCTGTACCAAGATTTGATTCTGTAAGTAGATGAAATAAAAAAATCTATTAAACCTTACTTTATTTAACAGTATATTTAACATTTTATAGAATTCAGCATTTGCTGTATGTTATTTATGAAACTAACGTAAGTTGAATTTCTTGGCAATATTAGCTTTTACTTCCTACTTCACTTTTCCTTTTATGTTGTAAAGACTGCAAGAAATAGACAGTTTCTGGTTGTAATGATATCTACTGCAAAGTCAAATTTTGTTTATATTTAGGTTGAATATGAGACTCAAATTAAGAAGATGCAGCTACTTTCAAGAGAGAGCCTGAGAATTAAAGGTGAACTGAAAGATGAAGGCAGAGAAAAGGTAATGAATTAAAATGATAAACTTCTTGTTTTCCGATGATTTCTGAAATGTTCATATTTTAAGATAGTATTTTAATAAAATCACCTTATTATAAAGATCATTTTGATTAAATATTAAGTGATTAAAATTTTTTGCTTATAGAATATTGCTTTAATGTATAATTTGCTAAAAGGCAGTCACTTTGGGGTTAAGATTTAGATTCCAAAGAATAACCTTGTTAGCAGGTAAAATTGTGTTTTTCTAAATAAGGCTTTATAGCTACTTTTTGTCTTACTTTGAGAAATGTTTTAATTGAAAAGTAAACAAAATGTTGCATTCGGATTCTTTCCTTTCTCTGTATAGTTTTGTACATTTTAACCTTTTCATAGAGAAAGTGGAAAGAAAGATTGCATATCTAAGCAATAGAGGAAAAAGACCAGCAGGAATACTTAAATAAATTCTGCTATGTATCTGCTGTAATGCAGGCTTCTAATCCTCCTGCCTATCTCCATATAAATGATTCTGTTCAAGACCATAGATGTTTTCTTCACTAAAAGCAGTAAAGCTCTTTTAGATGAAATGTCTAAAAACATCTTGTAATAACTTGGAGCATGCTGGCAAGAGTAGTCACTTGTGCCTGTGTGAAACCCCCTCAGCCAGTTGATATTGGAATAAGCAAAAATGTTCGCATCACTCCATTATTCAGAAAAGCCAGCAGCGCGCTGGTTCCTTAGGCTGCAGCATTCATTAAGAAAAGCTTACTGGGCTGAAAGCTGGGAACTGATGATAACGGGATATGATTTTCATATTTAATGCTTTCCTTGGAAGAGTGTGTGTGCTACAGATTGATAGAAGAATCAACTGCTACTTTACTAAAAGACTTTCAGGTTTGCCCTATAGCTACCGATGGAATCATTCAGCCAAGAAATTAACTTTTTCTCCTTTTACCTGCTTTATATATCTGCTAAGCAGGCTGCCTAGCTGCCAGTAAATGTTATTATGCAGTTAACTGTTTGGTATTTAAGACTCTTATCAGAAAAGAAACAGAGGCCACACTATTTTGTTTTTATAGTAGGAGGAAGGTTTTAGTTTTTCTTTCTTCCATGCATTAGCAAGCATTAATCTGAGTTTATAGGAAGTTTTGGTTTTCTTTCCCATAGATTAGAAAGTTAAAAAAACTAGAATTTAGAGCATTCTTTAAACTGTAAGATATGGAACACCAAGCCCCAGCAGCCTTGACCTATATAAAAAGGCCTTTAATGATAAATGATTTATGTGCCATTAGATGTAGACCCAATGTGGTATGATGCAATAGACTTCTAAACCATTCAGTTTTTCTGTTTGACATCTGGTCATGAAATAATTGGTGTGTTTTTAATCTTTAAGCCAGTTTGTTCTTTCTATGCTGCTCCCAATAGACATATTCTTAGTATAGTGGTGTCAATGGTACTTAAGTAAAAGGGGAGACTTTTTTTTTTTTCTGTTTGCACTACTGATTCCTTACCTTGCATATGATTATGGAGTGTTCTTTTAAGTCATATTTAAACAGAGAGAAGAGACATACTCCTGACAACTCCTTAAAATGTTTCACTTAATAATTAGAATAGAAGTGTTTTCTCTTATTCTAAAAGGTGTCATCTCCTTGGAAGCTTTGACTATTGACTCCATATAAGAATCAATTAGGTAACATTTTGAGAAACTTATATCTTACCTTTTCCAGTTTTCCATTGATGTGCAGTCAATTACAAGGTAAATATGTTGCAGCAAAATCATGACTTAATCCTTATTTTAGACTAACTCCCAGACAGTTCCTTATTACGTGAGTTCTTTGTTATCTGAAATCTGAGTGCCTCATCTTTGAGTAGTCATATGAATTCATCTCCTCACCCAGTTGTTTGTCAAGGACTTTCCTAATTCAGGATCTAGTTGTCAAACAGCTGCTCTGTTGGAGAAATTATAGTAGGCCCCACTGCAAATGTCACAATTCTTGCTCTCAAGGTTCTTCTCAGAAAGCACTGTTCTTTCTAGGGCACAGGAAGATGTGTGATGTGTGCTGGTTATAGACAGGTGTGGGCTTCATGGGAGCAGCCAGGACCACTTCCTCTGCCATGAGTTGATTACCCAGGTTTTGGTGGAGGAGGTGTTGAAGTGGGCATTGGAGGAAAAGTAGGCTGTTGATGGCTGGGGCAATGTTACGGATAAAGGAGCAGACACTGGAAAGCCCAGAGTGTAAATGCCTCTCTGGCAGGATCTAAAGAGCTTGTTGGGAACATGGTAGAAATGACCTTGAACAAGGACATTCTGAGACCTTGCACCTTAGGCTCAGTCTAAGAAGAGAGGATTAGCACATGTGCATGTGTGATGAGCAGGTGAAGGACTTGTGAGCAGAGCAGTTGGGTCCAGAAGAGTGGCTGCAGATGAGGCTGGCAGTGCAGCACAGAGTGGACTGGGGAGGGTAGATGGAGCTGAGGAGTTGGGGCGAGCACACGGGAATTGTTCCACAGTACCTGAACACAGGGAGGTGTTGTGGAGGGAAACACTAACAGAAGGGAAAGGATCCATCAAGTCAGAATTCTGAATCATAAAACAGTAGCTTTTAAAAGTGGGTTTACAGCTTCCCACCCTACACAATAATTTAGATGTCAAGAGAGGTTATCAGGTAATGGTTGTATGTTTTCATATGTAAAACTGTGGCTCAGTTTTGTAATAGGCACCTACTGTCTGCAGGCATCCACGGTTATGTTCCTTCAAAGTGTGGAAAACTAGTCTGCTCACCCCCCAAGCTTGTTTCAACTCTAACTCTACTTAGGAAACTTAAAAATAAGACAGCAAAAATATAATATTCAGGCTTTTTTGAATCCCCACAGATTTTACTGTAATAATCCTTTCCCTCTATTATCTATTTTTAGTTTGGTATGACCTCTGGTTCTATTTATAGCTAGGTCTTTCTGGTTGCTTAATTGTGTGGTATGAGCAGTGTTTAGAGAATATGTGTAAAACATGCCATAACGTACATACTGGGAATTTGTGAGTGAGAGTATACATTTTCCCATGGGGGCTGGAGATTTCTTTGAACTATTGCGCTGTAAACTATGTGCCACTAGAGACAGAAGGACTGAGAACCAGGGAGGCCAGGAGATGACATCGCAGGACTGCTGGGGCAGTGTCACCTCCCGTGCTGTAACCCTCTCTGCGTGCTTCCAGGACTTGCAGTACCAGTGGTGACACTGGGTAGAGATCCCTGCATGCTTACCAGCTGCTGCTCTCATGATCTGAGTGGTACTCGCCAGTCCAGGGTAGCCACAGAGGCCCAGGTCCTTTCCAAAGACGAATGGATGGACAAGTGGTGCAGCAGAAATCGGATAAGAGATCAATATCATGGAGGGTGAAGCGAACCCTAACACTGATACCCCTGCTTGAAGAGCAAATGACTTAGCTGGGATCCTCTGGAAGTAGATCCCAAGACAAGGATTTGAGTACATGCTGTCACTTTGTTGGGAGGTGGACCCAGGAAGTACAACTGAAGAGCGAGGAAAGTGACCCAAAGAAGGAGAAGCAGCCCACAAAGGTGCGGCACTAAGCATCTGGTGCTTGGGCCTGGGGTGACCTTGGAAGACTGCAGAACAGGCCTCAGAAGTGACCTGCCCCAGGGAAGGAGAGGAAGGTCCTTCCCTTCCATTTTATTCCCCTGCAATTTCACGCTGTACTGCATCTAGGTGCCGTACTTGTGGAGTCCCAGACATGTGGGAGTATGAGCCCGGGGTCTGGGTCTGCCCTTCCCACCTATGCTGGACAAGAACAGTGGATAGAGGAGGAGAAGGTGGGCTGTCACGTAGAGTTTTTGTTCTACCTTACAGCCTACAGTAGTGTATATGCACGCACACACATCCATTACAGCACCTTACAAAATAGGAACTATTTTTGCATTCATTTTACATATTAGGAAAGGGATGCTCAGAGTAGTTATGTGACTTGTCCCCAGGTTGCACAACTGGTAAGTGGCAGAGCTAGGGTTTGGGTCCCAGGAGACTAATGTGGAGTCTTGTTTTATTTTCTACATTTTTGCTTTTTCCTTAAGTTTATTTTGGTCTGGGTGTTAATTAATAAATGCATATTTATCGACTCATACTACTTTTAAATTACTAGATGAAATAATTTACTTGGGAAATTAGTTGGCGATAACCCTTGGAGGAATTTAGCTTCTCTGTCATATTCAATAATGAAGGAAAAGCAGTATTTCTAACGCTGACTTTTTGTGGGTACATTGGTTAGGCAGCCATCTTCTTTTACTCCCTGGATGGTGGAATTATGTACCAAAGACTTTCCCAAGGAGGGAACATAGATACAGGTCCATGCCTTGTGGTGAGTGAATGAGGAAGAAAGGAGGGAAAGTGAAGAGGGTGAAGGGATGCAAGTCACTGTAGCAAGAAGAAGAGATACTATGTGGGAAACAGTGCTGCTTTTCTCCTTTTGATAGTACAAGGGATTAGAGAAGCGCCACAGAACAAATACTGATTTCTTGTTCTTTAGATTTTCCAAATTTTATATGTTTATATTCTATGAAATATTATATTATTAAAAAAAGACATTCTTTATACAGCCTAAAAAATGTGTGAATTCTTAGAATTTTTTGGAAAGGAATCTGACAGTGACCATCATAATTAATGTCCACATATGCTTTGTCCTAACAGTCCATTTTTGATCATCTATTTTGTAGAAATAAAAGCTTAAGCTCAAAATGCAAAAATCTAGTTAGTCTGTTGCAGCGTTATCCATACTAGCAAAACATGGGAAGTCCACAGGGCCAGCAAGGAAGGAGGGATTGGGAGAGGTGAGGCTATACCCTCAATTTCAAGCACTCTGTGTGTATCAGAGGGAGTCCAGTGTATTCCTCTTGCCCCGGGGGGTGAGGGTGCCCTGGCATATTGATAGGAGAGAACAGCAGGTTGCAGAGGATCATGTAAGGCATGCTCTCACATTTACACAAATGCCCAAACCCTTGTTTCTGGGGAATTAGGTTT